TGATACTCGTCTGCGAGAGGCTCGCGTGGGAAACGCTTTTCTGCTTGGCAGAGGCGTGGTTCACTGCTCAAACTTGTTTTCTTTCGCGAAAGAACGCTTTTGTTGCGGGGCTCGGGAGAAGAACGATTGGAAGGTGTGATGCAGCTACGCTGTAGATCGTATTTGTTCATTGTAGAAACGATGAAATAATAATCCCTGGGAGAAATCGTCCCCCGCGTGCGCCATCACGACAGTGCAGTTGCAGTTCCCCGGGCAGATGCTCACAGCCCCCCCGGGCACCAGCCCCTCCACGGCGGGCGGCTGCGGGGCTGTGCCCGCGCTGGGTCTGCCGCCGCTTTCCCCAGGGCCCCCGGGCACTGCGCTGCCCTGGGGCGAGCTACAGCCTGGGCCAGCTTCAGCTCCGGGGCTGGTCCTGCTCCTCTCTCTAGCCAGGTAGCTATGGGTGTTTAGCTGACTTCTGGGGTAATTTTATTTGTTCAGGACATTAAGTAAAAGTTTTTTCATGTTTCAGTAATGTTCTTGATACCAAGGGAACCCCGAACACATCACAAAACAGAAACCCAGTCTTGCCAGCGAGCTCGAATATGCCAGTGGTGGCAACCTCTGGCAGGTCGAGGGCCTGCTTCCAGGCTGTGCTGAGCATTACTGGAACACAGGCACCCTGGTACTTACCTGCGTCTGGACATTGCCTAGTAGTTTTACTTTGAAACTCCTTTTAGATGTTTCCTGCTGTTTTCCCAGCAATGGAAGCTACCGGATGTGTGTCAGTGGTGATGGGTTTGCAGCACTTGCAAGCATGGTCATCACTTTAGGTAAGACTAAAATGACCTTGTAATTAAAATGTTACCATTGTAAACATACTACTAGATCTTCAGCATCCAGAGCAGCAAGAACTTGCAGTTTGCAAGTGCTATTTTAAGCACACCACTTTTTTTTTTTTTTTGTAGTAAACTTAATTCTATTACTCATACGAAATAAGTGGTTGAATTTGGTGCTGCGTGAACACAAGATTTGAGCCAGGACATCATATTACTTCCATATACAGACAGACCGTTACCTAATGACAAGGAAAATATTTTAACACTGGCAAAAAGCAAAATGAACACATCTTCTCCTCACATCTGTATAGGATGAAACATACATATTTGTAAAGGGAAATTAAAACGTAGTACCATGCCAGATTAATGCTAATGTTTTAATCATTGCTCATGTATCATTTTAGTCCTATGTTCCAGTCTTATTTCAGCCTATTTCAGGACTTATT